CCCCCCCCACGGTCATTGCAGTGGAAGACTGTTTCCATGGAAGTTCAGAGACATTTTAACAATCAACACATTACTGACAAAGGAATACTTATGGACACTGTACTGGTGGAACAACATTTAATGGTTTAATGCTAATATGGCTTGGGAGGGGCAGTGTGTTTGCAGTTGACTGAATCACACTGAATTCTTCTCCACTGACAAGCCATACAAAAATGACAAGATAATTAATGTGTACAATAAGGAAAAAAATTGGTGACCATTGCTCTTATATCCCATTATATAATTAGCCCACCACAGCTGTGTTTAGTTCAGAACACTACCTGCCATGGTGAATTTAGGATTTACTGTTCACCATAATTACAGCCTGAAAAGTCTCCTTTGTATTTTAATGTATTTTGTGCTTACATACAGCTAACACTTTACATGTACTATATGTAGTACTTACTGCTTAGAAAACAAAGCAATTCTAACAAAGTAAATTCTCCCCACCCAATTTACACTTCACGTTACAAGCTTTACTATGAAGCCTAGAAGCCTAAAAAGGTTTGGTTTATAATTAGAAATAAAAAGATTTATTTGAGGAAAGTCTGAGAGAAAAAATACCACTTTTAAATCCAAGAAATGCTATGGTCACAGTACTGCTCCTGTCCTGCAGTCTTCACTGTTCCTTCTAATGGCTTGACGTATGGAGCTCAGTATGGAAGCTGATGATGACCATAACTGTTCAGATTACCAGAGACCAAACAAACAAATGTAACATAACATAACATAACATAACATAACATAACATAACATAACATAACATAACATAACGTAAAAAAAAAAGCTATGCCAAGGAATATTTTCCTATTGCATGGAAATACTAGTCATATGGCAAAAGGAGTGGAAAGGACAACAAAAGACTTTTCCCTTCCTTTTTTAAGACACTAATAGGTATGCTGGGAATGCTAAGGGTCAATGGTTGTCACGGCTTTGTTCTCTGAATGTGAACAGCTTTAACAAATGCTGGCATCAGCTGAAATTCTTTCAGCTTTCAACATGTTAACTTTTCCCTTTATATGTAGACCTTTACAGTTCCATAACAATAAATAAAATTTGTAGTTACAATGCATTTGTCAATTCAGTTTAGGCACAAGGCAACTTCCACAATGAGTGGAGAGATCACAACAGTCTCTGATTGTGCAGAAGCGACACACTGCTTGCAACAGAATGATATGTTCAGAGTATTTCATGGGCTGAAATTCTATCTGAAGATCTTTGTATCTTCACTTCTGATGCAGGTGTTGACCAGTAGCTTTGATCATAAGATTGCATTTGGGTTTCTTGCTTCAAGTGTTTTCTCCTGTCAGATTTGTGTCTTCATATAATGTTAGTTGTCTGTGTCCTTGTGAAGGAAGGTCACCTTCTATATATCCTACTGATAATTCTGGAATTCTGTTATGGAAATAGGAGAAAAATCATGTTAGTAAAACAATTAACGAAAACCAACTCCGTTATATAGAATATAGTTGTATCATATTTGCAGTGTCGTTGCAGCTGTTTTGGTCCCAGGATATTAGAGAGGCAAGCTTGGTGAAGTGAAATCTATTGAACCAACTTCTTTTGGTGAAGCTATGGTGTTTACAAAGCACTCTTCTTCAAGTCTTTTTTCAGTGAATTTAGTGTAAATGAAATGTACCAAATTACCGCAGTTCTGTGTCCTTCAAGCACATCCAGCAACACTGCAAACAATATCATATTCCACTTACGTCATGAAGATGGCCTGGGAAAAACATCTTTTGATGAGGTTGACAAGATGGCTTAGTCTCCATGCCCATTCCAGCACAGTTGCAAGTGCCAACATGCTAGTCAGGATGGTGATTCTTACAATGTGGAAACCTGACTACCAAGAACTGGACTGAAACCACTAAACCTGTTTTATCTAGATAACTATAAAGTCATTAGAATCATGAGGTGTCAACAACAAGATATCACTGATTATTGTTATATAGAGAAACTAAAACTAGCTTTCTTTTCCTCAACTCAAAGGAGAACTTCACCTTTAGAACAAACCCTACACGCAATGAAACAATTCTTAACAATGCAGAATGGTTTAGAAGCACATGACCACTCTGTCAATGTTTTGTGTAATTTTCAAAATACATGTCTCAACCTAGCAAAGATGGAAAGAACTACAATCATTTAGAGAAACGGATGTGGGACAAACTGTTAACAGCCTACTTTTTTTCAGAACAGCAGTGAAAATTTCCCACTGTCTGGAAAACCATGATTTTTTAAATATATTGTTTAGGAGGGAGGTATACGGATTTGAAACGCTAAATTTGCATGTTTAAAAAAACCCCAAATTTAATTTGTCATTGCCAAGACTACCTATTTAACGCTTTTCATCATAGAATTGACATTTCTTATCTTTTCCTAAGTTATACAAATGATTATTCATATTTTAATTGGCATCATTAAAGGTGCAAGCCGTTCTAGTAACTAGTCAGTACAAACTTTTCCATCGGTGTTCAGATTTTGTTAACCCAATATTGTAATTATTTAAAGCTTTACTGACATTATGTACTTTTACAAGTTCTTTGTAAAAGTGTGCAGAGAAATTCAATACTTATGGTGGCTTGAAAATCCACTGTGTTGATTTGACAAGGAATGTCTGTTGACAAATTACAAATCATAGAACACTAGAACTGGAAGGGACCTCGAAAGGTCATCGAGTCCAGTCTGCCTTCATGGCAGGACCTAGTACCATCTAGACTATCCCTGATAGATGTCTGTCTAACTGGTTCTTAAATATCTCCAAAGATGGAGACTCCACAACCTCCTATGCAACTTATTCAAGTGTTTAAGCACCCTGATAGTTAGGACCTATCCGGGTGTAAAATGAAAACAAAATTTAGAGGAACTCAATTGGGCTTTTTATGTTTTGAGAATATTTCTTCAATCTAGTTTGCAGACGATGATGCTGACTGGGATTGTTATGGCAATGGGAAAAATATCCCCAGAAATATTGACTAAGATGATTTTACTGCCGCCTTGATGTTTTGAAAGGTCTCTCAGAGGGTAAGCAGTTACTTTGGGATAAATTTCACGATGCCGCAAGAGGATTTGCTACACGACTTTGACCAAAGTGAATAGAAACTATGATACTAAATCCATGGATAATACATGCAGTCCCCAAGTTACGCGGATCCGACTTATGTCGGATCCGCAGTTACGAACGGGGCCGTTCCTCTCCCTGGTCTCCAGCAGACCAGGGAGAGGAAGCAAAGCGGCGGAACACGTGGGCAGCGGACAGGGCTGTCCGCTGCCTACGCGCTCCGAGGCTTGGCTCTGCTTCGCTCTGCTTTGCGCCCCCCCC